TTAAAAGATTTATTTATTTATTCATACAGAACTGGGGTACAGGCCAGAGATGCAGAGGGTGACAGGATTCACCAAAGAGAAAGCAGGGAGCAGAACAGGCAGATGGACGAAGTACACTGCTGAGGGGAGCAGCGGGCGGGTCAGGAGAGGTCTGCTGTGCCATGTGGATCTCCTCCCAGGCAGGTGGGGATTGAACTCATACGGAAGTGGCTTTAGCTTCTTGGTGTAGTGCTTAACCCGCTGTGCCACCAGGGAGAGCCCATCAAAATGGTATTCTTTTGAAAAAATTGATTACCTTTCTCCAAAGGACAAATTATGAAAATGTTGGTAAGATAAATGAGAGGCAGAATTACAAAGGTTAATTCTGATGTTACAGGGTTACTCTTTAAGAAGCCAACTTTTTTTTCATTCTGCATTATGTTAACATGTACATTTTGAATAGTGGTCTTAAGAACCCACAATCTGGGCTCTCCCTGTGGCACAACAGGTTAAAGCACAGCACTGTGAAGCTGGTGGTAACTGCTTCAGCATGAGTTTGATCCCCAGTCAGGGGGATGACTCACATAGCGCAGCAGACCTCTCCTGTCTCCCGGCTGCTCCCATCAGCAGTGTACTTTAACAATTTGCCTGTTATGCTCCTCACTTTGTCTCTGGTGAATCCTCTCACTGGCCCTGTACCTTTGGCCTGTACCCCAGTCTTATGCATAAATAAGTAAATCTATTTTTTAAAAAAGAACACACAATCTTCCTTTAATAAAACAGTTATGGGCCCTCCCTGGTGGCACAGCAGGTTAAAGCACAACGCTAAGAAGCTAAAGCCACTTCAGCATGAGTTCGATCCCCACCCCGGAGGTGACCCACATGGCATGGCAGACCTCTCCTGAGCCGCCTGCTGCTCCCCTCAGCAGTGTACTTTATCAATCAACCTGTTCTCCCCACTCTCTGGTGAATCCTCTCACCACCCTTACACCTCTGGCCTGTACCCCAGTTCTGTATGCATAAATAAATAAATTTTTTTTAATGGTAACTATCCTTACTGTTGGTTTCACTCATAGCAGGAGCATAAAGGACCAGGGGGGAAAAATAATAATGAACAACTATATACCAGAGACATTTTATGGGGGTGAAGTGGGGAATGGGATAAAAAATGAGGGTGGGGGAAGTGCACAGGACTAACGTGATGGCACACAGGTGAATTGGTGATGGGAAGTCCATGGGGATTACAACTGAGATGGAAGAAGGCACAAAATGATGTAAAAATAAACTATTATAATAATAAAAAATGGTAACTATCCTTATTGTGGTAATCATCTCACCATATACCTGTGTAACAAATCACCGCACTGTTCACCTTAAACAATAATATACATTAACTACATCTCAATCAAGCTTGGGGGAATATATTCTGAGTAGAAAGGGCAGCAAATTCAAAGGTAGCAGAAGAAAGGAGACTGAGCAGGAAAATTCCAGGAGTTGATTATCACTAGGACAATGAGATTTAAGGATGACACTGGTGAGAGACAAGAGTAAAGGGCTGACAGCAGTGACATTCATTAATTTGTTAAATGATTATTGTTTGCTCTGTACCAAGAATTAGCATGTAGACCTGATTCTTGTTTAGGGGGTTCTGTTAAGGATACAGAAGTAGTCATTTGGGCCTTCCCGGGTGACACAATGGGTTAACACGAGCACTGTGAGCCACAGATACTTCAGTGAGTGTGAGTTCAATCCCCAGCCCTGGAGATGATCTATATGGCCCAAGACCTCTCCTGACCCACCTGCTGCTCCCCTCAGCCTGTTCTGCTTCCCACTGTCTTTTGTGAATCCTCTCACCACCCCTGCACCTCTGGCCTGCACCCCAGTTCTCTATGAATAAATAAATCTTTAAAAAAAAAAAAGAAGTAGGCCCTCCCTGGTGGTGCAGCAGGTTAAAGCACAGCACTGAGAAGCTTAAGCCACTTCCGCATGAGTTCAATCCCCACCTGCCCCGGAGGTGATCACATGGCGTGGCAGACCTCTCCTGGCCCGCCCACTGCTCCCCTCAGCAGTGTACTTCATTATCTGCCTGTTCTGCTCCCCGCTCTATCTCTGGTGAAACTCACCTCATCTCTGGCTTGTACCCCAGCTCTGTATGAGAAAATAAATCTTAAAAAAAAAAAGTAGACATTGATAAACAATCATAAATTGAGGGGGAAATGCTAAAAAAGAAATATTGGGAACAATGAGATTGTCACTGGGCAGAATTAGGGACACCTCAGGACCCCCAAACCTGGCTACTCAAAATGGGTTCAGCCATCTGTCACATAAAAACATATTCTTAGTACATACTCTTCAATAGAAAATAACTTTAATACAATTAGTGTACAATAGAGAATTTGTGTGCATTAGAAAACAGAAAGAATGCAGTTAAAATGGTTTCCCCATAACACACCCATTTACTTTGTGGGTAAACGTGAAGCCAAAGAGTCTTGGCCCATAGCAGGACGATTAAGGCCCAAAAGCTTACCAAAAGTCTAAGTTACCTTCTAATGGGGACCCATTGGAAAAGGGAACAAGGAAGTCAAGTTTGGAAGGAAAAGAGCAAAATCAAAATACAAGTCAAGATAAAGTCTGCCATTGTTAGTCCTGACAGGTCTCATGTCTACATCTTTGTCTCTTTCAAATGTTTCCTTCCATGTCCCCCAAGTCCCTGGTACATGCTCAAGGTAGAGAAGCAAGCATGGCTTCACATGTCTTTCTGCTCTTTGGGTCTTCTATGTTTTTTTTTTTTTTCATCTCCCTTATTATCTTCCTGGTATTCCTTTCTTCACTCCTTCTCTCCTAGGCCCTTTTCTAGCTTTTTTCTCTGCCCAGCTCTCCCCTTCCAAGAATTTTCCCTTTCCCTAGAGATTACACTGTGGCAAGATAAGGGAAAATATATTTCATATTGGGTGGTCAATGAAGGCTTAATGAGAGCTGAAGGATGAAAAAGAGAAAAAGCCAAGAGAAAACATTCTAAGCAGAGAAAAGAATTTGGCTCAATTCTTTGAAGTGGGTTAGAACTTGGTACAACCATAAGACTGAAAGAAGGTTGATGTTGCTGAAGTTAAGTGAGGAGGTGGGTGTCAAGAAAAAGGATGAAATAGTAAGTGAGGGACTGTTTGATCATGGCTTGTTGATAAAGTTTTCATTTTAAGTTTAATTGGGAGCCAGTGACAAATTTTTATAATGAAAATGAAATGACAGAATTTTAGATCCTGAAAATTCATTCCTGCAATTTGGGAAATAGTTGAAGAACAAGACCTCTCATGTGAGGATTTCTTTAAAAGCTATTGTATAAACTAAGTTATGCTATTAGGAGTTAGGATAGCTATTACTATTATTGGGGGTAGAGACTAGAAGGCAGCGTGAAGGGGAATTATGACAGTGCAGGAAAAGTGCTGCTGCTTTTCTGGGAGATAGTTACATAGATTGTTTTGTGACTATTCAAACTGTGCCCTTATGAAGGGTGCATTAAAAAAAAAGTATTTAAAGCTCTTTAATACAATTTTCCTCTATGTTGTCATTAAAGACCAAAAACCAAAAAAGGAGGGAATTCTGGACATATTCCAGAATGGGAGAGAAAAGAAACATAATAAGTAAATTAGTGTATGATCTTCTGTCCACAAATAAAATGCTGTTATGTAAAAGATTTTATTGGGGTCATAGGCAAAATTGAATGTGGACTTTATTATTTTTAAAGATTATTTTAATTTATTTATTTATACATACAAGAACTGGGATGTACACCAGAGATGCAGAGGAGAGGGTGGTGGTGAGAGGATTCACCAGAGACAGAGTAGGGAGCAGAACAGGTGGATTAACTGAAATACACTGCTGAAGGATGCAGCTGGTTAGACAGGAGAGGTCAGCTGGGCCAGGTGGGTTAGCTCCAGACCAGGGATCAAATTCTGCTGCAGTGTCTGCTGATAGCTTGATAGTGCTGAGACTTAACTCCTTGTACCACCAGGGCGGCCTTGAATATAGACTTTAGAATAATGTTGAATCTAAGTAAAATTTCCTGAATTGTATAATAGGACTATGATGATGTAAGAACTAGTCCTTGTTTTAGTAGCTAAATGCCAAAGCATTTAGGGATGTGTACATCTGATTTTTAAATAAATGGTTCTGCAAAATAACTTGTAACTGCATAATGAAAAAAAAAAAAATTAGGCCCCACTAGTGGTCTAGGGATTAAGTCTCTGGGCTATCATTGCCAAGGTCTAAATTCAATTCCAGGCCAGGGATGGAACCACTTATGGTGCAATAGAACTCTCCTGTCTTGCCTGCTGCTCCCCTCAGCAGTATATTTCAGTAAATCCGCCAGTTCTGCTCCCCAGTCCGTCTCTGGTGAATAACTCTGTCTCCCCATCCCAGTTCTCGCATGCAAAAATAAGAAGAAATTTGACAGTACACTAACACGAAGTTATGATAGGAAGGTTAAGGTTATATGGAAGTTCTTTTATTAGTTTTTGTTATAAATAATTATTATTGCAACGTTTCCATAGATTTGAGAATTTTAATAAACTGGAAAAAAGCGATTGCCATAATGTAGGTAGAACTGATATGGGCTAAACTTGGCACTAAAGACAAAGAAGAGTGAATAAACTCAAGGTAGAGTTTGGAGGTAGAACTGACAAGATATGTTATTGGGATAGCGTGATGGACGACGAAAAGCAGAGGAATCAATGTCGTAAATAAACAAGCCCTTCTCAGCCAGCCCAAGTTAGCCCCACCTTCCCCTTTCCACCCGAGAGGAGGAAGTGAGTTAAAGGAAGCGACCGTCAAATCCACAAGCCGACTTCCGGTCTGGCGTCGCAAAGAAGTCGTAAATTGGAGAGCGCTGTTTGGCCCCTCCCCCAAAATAGGCGGCCCTAGAGAGTGACAGAGACCAATGGCGAGCGAGTCATCGGGCTTTTATCCAATGGCTCTGGAGATGGGCAGAATTCGGCAGCACGCGGTTTGCCTGCGTTTCTGCCGGGAACTGCAGTGGATTTCCTGAGGTGTTGGGGTGTCCTGCCCGGGATTTGCCGGTTTGTAATTTTGTTCGTGGGACAAAGTTGTGCCAAGAAAGTGGGCTTTACACCGGAAGTACAGAAGTCAGACCTGGACCGGGAGGGATGGGGCCGGCGCCTACAGGAACGCAGCATCGTGGAGTTCCTGAGGAGTCGGAGGTAGGTGTGCACGCTGGGAGGAAAGAATACTCAACGTGTCGGAGATGTCAGAGCCTGACACCGCGTTCACTAGCGTCATGAGGGCGACCTCTCTGGAAGATCTTTTTCCCTCGATGCTTCAACCCTGGGGCTCTGAAAGTCAGGACTTGCTGTGGGCTGCAGAACATGGTATAATTTGGATAGAAGCAGTAGTCTTTATTGGATTCTCATGGCGAGCATTGCACCCTGTAGTTGAAGAGACCTGATGGCTTGGGTCATTTCGCTGACCGAGTTTTCCTTCTTGACGTTGGAAGGCATCTCCCCTCGTGTGCCTGCTGTAAACGAGGACACGTGGTGGCACTTCTGGGGTGCTTCTACTGTAAGGCTGACCCGGTTTCGGACCATGGAGGGGATCGGACCAGGGCTCTAGGGTAGAAAGTTTGGGATTTCACACAACAGGATTTGAAGCCTACTCATAATATAGGTATGCTAGCTGTGGAAACTTGAGCTCACACAACTTACTTAAAGTGTCCATTTTCTCCTAGGATTATTGTGAGAATTGCATTACTTGCTGAGCTCCAGAACCAGTAGGGTCTAAATCATTTCATCTTTGAGTACTTAATGTGTACTGAATCAGACTATAGTTGGGGCTTGGAATCGGTCTGTAGGGGAGGTGGAACCTGGCGTGATTTGGAGAAGGTAAGAATGGAGATGGTATTTTTGAAGTCCCAAGGCAAACACAGCAGAAGAGGAAACTTTCTGATGCATGGTGCCTGGAATACAAGAAGTTCAGGTATTGTTCAGGGAAGTAGCTCATTGGGTCCTGCCCAAGCAGAGCTCCCTGCAGTTTGACTCCAAGCACAACTCCCTGCTATTGCTGTCAGGTAGATAGGGAGTGTTCAAGTCAAGGAACTCTGAGTTTGGAATTCAGTAAATAGTCTTCCTGAGCTTTTTTTTTTTTTTTTTTTTAACATAGAAGAACTGCGGTGTAGGTCAGAGGTTTGGAGGGGGTGAGAGGATTCACTAGAGACAGAATGGGGAGCAGAACAGGCAGGTTTACTGAAATATACTAAGTGGAGCAGTGGTTGAGACAGGAGAGGCTTGTTAAGCCATATGTAGGTTAGCTCCCTGAATGGAGATCCATTTCAGGCCATCAGGGTCATAATTCTGAGACTTAACCTCTAGGCCACCAGGGAGCTCTATCCTGAGTTTTACCATTCTCACTACCGTTGAAAAGAGGGACCAGGAGCCAGTGAAGCTTTGATAAGTATCTCCTGTCAATGAGGCACTTCAGGTACCACTTCAGGTACATCTGTAGCTCACACTGGCTACTCTCTCTCACTGGCCACAGGTGACGGAGCCAGCTCTGGAAGGCACAGGCAAGGAGGGGAAGAAGAAATCTTCAAAGAAGCGTACAGTTGCTGGGTGTCCAGTGGAGGGCCTCCTGCAGCCAGTGAAGCTCAGCAGGGCTGAACTGTATAAGGAACCTACCAATGAGGAGCTGAATCGCCTTCGGGAGACTGAGAGCCTCTTTCACTCCAGCTTGCTTCGCTTACAGGTACCATTGGGTGATTGGGACTTTCATTAGAGGGACAGATGGAGGGCCTGACACTAAAGGACTCTCCCCTGTTACTTTTTTTTTTTTTTAATAATGTAATAGTTTATTTTTACATCATTTTGTGCATTTTTTTCATCTCAGTTGTAATCCCCATGGGCTTCTCCCCTGTTATCCTTACAGGTTGAGGAGCTTCTAAAGGAAGTGAGGCTGTCAGAGAAAAAGAAAGAGCGAATTGATGCTTTCCTACGGGAGGTCAAACAACGGGTCATGCAGGTGCCTTCAACCCCTGAGACAGAGGTAAGTAGGTGTTATGAGGAACTGGAAAACCCAGAAGAGGTCCTTAGTGAGAGCATCTGAAACAGGACTGTTTCTAATCTCTGAAGCGGTTGGAGAGCTAGGGAGCCCATTCTCACTGCAGGAGTCTCAGCTGGAAATGTTCATTAATTCATGAAGTACTTATATGCATCGTGGTAGTTGTATTTTTTTTTTTAAGATTTTATTTATGCATACAGAACTGGGGTACAGGCCAGAGGTACAGGGGCAGTGAGAAAACTCACCAGAGACAGAGTGGGAAGCAGGACAGGCAGATCAACGAAGAACACAGCTGAGGGGAGCAGCGGGCAAGACAGGAGAGGTCTGCCATGCCATGTGGGTCACCTCCCTGGCCAGGGATCGAACTCTGTGCTGCAGTGGCTAACGCTAGCTTCATAGTGCTGCACTTTAACCCGTTGTACCACCAGGGAGGGCCCTAGTAGTTGTATTCTTAGGATTTATCAGTGAATAAGACAGCCTATGTTCTAATGTTGGGTTTGTGGATGATAGATAATAAGCATGACAGGTAAACAGTATGGCAATGTTACAAGGTGGTATGCCTCCTGGAAAAGGGAAAAATAGGACAGGGAAAGGGACTGTGAGAATATCAAGATGGAAATGATTTGCAATTTTATTTTTTTTAAAGATTTGTTTATTTATGCATATAACAGTTGGGGTGCAGGCCAGAGGTGTGTGGGAGTGGGAATGAGAGGATTCAGAGACAGAGTGGGGAGCAGAACAGGCAGATTGACGAAGTACACTGCTGAATGGAACAATGGGTGAGACAGTAGAGGTCTGCTGTGTCATGTGGGTCAGCTCCCTGATGGGGAATTGAACTCATGCTGCAGTGGCTGCCAATAGCTTCTTAGTGCTGTGGCACTATGTTGAGCCACCAGGGAGGCCCCTGATTTGCAGTTTTAAATAGGATGGACTTATTGGGGTGACATTGTGTTTTTTTTTTTTTAAGATTTATTTATTTATGCATACAAGAACTAGGGTGCAGGCCAGAAGTGTGATGAGGGTTGAGGATTCACCAGAGACAGAATAGGGGGCAGAACAGTGGCCTGACTAAAATATGCTGCTGAGGGGAGCAGTGAGCAAGATGGGAGAGGTTGACTGCACTATGTGAGTTAGCTCCCAGGCAGGGAATTGAACTCCGGTCACAGCAGTGATAGCACTGAGACTTAGCCCTTAGGTCACCAAGAAGACCTTTTGGAGTGATGTATCTTTAGGACATATGGTGGTGGGATGAAAAAGGATTATTCAGAGTCCATGTGCAAAACAGGGGGAAGCTAGAGGGACTACACCACAAAGAGGTAGCCCAGCTCCAAGGGCAGTCTTGTTTTTATTTAAAGTCAGACAGAAGAAAAGATCAAAGAAGCAAGCAGCAAAAAGGGAATACACAAGTGTGTGGGAGATGTGTAACCAGCGGGTCCCAGCCAAGGTTGGGAAATAGAAAGTCAAGAGAAGTCTCATTGTTTATGCTGCTCTAACTATAACATCTATTGTTATTTCTGCATATGCTATCTTCAGCAAGTATAGATCCTCATGCCAGAACTTTTGCCCTGAGAAGTTCCTTATCTCAAACTTGCCCTGTTTCTGCACACTGAGAGGCACAGAGTAGTCAAAACAAACAATAATCAAGTAGTTGAGGCACAAAATAATCCAAGCTCTACAGGGTGACATTTGTGTTAAGAGTTGAAGGTGGTGAGTTAGCCACAAAGATCCCTAAGGGAAGAATAGCATTTTGGGAAGGGGAAACAGTCAAAACAAAGGCTCAGAGGCAGGAGTAAGCCTGTATGTTCCTTGCAGTGAATGATGGGGAGATGGAAGGAGGTGAGTTCAGAAAGCTATGATGGAAGGGGGTGTGTCATTCAGGGCCTTGTGCACCTAAAAAAGGATTTTGGGGACCCTCCTTGGTGGCACAACTGGTTAAATTGCAGCATTATGAAGCTGTCTACAGCCACTGCAGCACGAGTTTGTTCCTTGCCAGGAAGGTGACCCACATGGCGTCCGCTGTCCCACCCACTGCTTCTCTCAGCAGTGTATTTCATTTGGTCTGCCTGTTCTGCTCCTTACTCCCCACACCTCTGGCCTGTATGCATAAATAAACGAAATATTTTTTTAAAACTCAGTATGTGTCACTTTCTCTGTCTCCGCAGCTGACTGACCAAGCATGGCTCCCAGCTGGGGTTCGAGTGCCTCTCCATCAAGTACCATATGCTGTGAAGGGCTGTTTCCGCTTCCTGCCCCCAGCCCAGGTTGCTGTTGTGGGCAGCTACCTTCTGGGCACCTGCATCCGGCCGGACATCAATGTGGATGTGGCACTGACCATGCCCAAGGTAAGGTCCTGAATTTGGGGACTAGAGGGACCTGCCACTTTATGGCCTACCCTGGCACCTGTTCTCCCACCTGACTCTTAACAGGATTCTAAGTCACATGAGCAGGCTACTGCAGGGCAGTAGGGTATTTTGATGTGTACTGTGCCAGCTGCTTCCTCTTTGGTATTTTGTCTTCCACACTTGAGAATCAGCATTGCTAGTAGCCCTGGCTCAGGTACCATGGCAGCTGAGCATCTCTAGGGTTGCTAAATTGTGATTCAGTTTAGGTACATCTTGGCCTCCAAACTTTCTAACCACAAGCACTTAAGTGCCTGGCCCATCTCTTTCTCCTCCTGATCCCCTCCAGGAGATCCTGCAGGACAAGGATGGGCTGAACCAGCGTTACTTCCGCAAGCGTGCCCTCTACCTGGCCCACTTGGCCCACCACCTGGCCCAAGACTCTCTCTTCAGCAGTGTTCACTTCTCCTACACCAATGGCTGCCACCTGAAACCCTCACTGCTTCTGCGACCACACGGTGGGAGGCACACATGGGGCAGAGGGCTATTTGGGGTAATAAATCTAGTGGAGGAAGCATAGGGGCCGCAAGACCAGGATGAAAGGCTTGGGCTTCAGATTTGAGGAAAAAGGTATAGGGACCTCAATCTGCGATGGGAGGGCTTGAGACCTCAAGTAGAAGAGGGTGGTAGTGCAGGGACCCACCCCCCGCCCCAACTCCCCAGGCTTCAAGGGGCTGCAGGTCTCAACATTCCATCACCCCCCAGGGAAGGATGAGCGTTTGGTCACTGTACGTCTGCACCCATGCCCTCCACCTGACTTCTTCCGCCCATGCCGCCTGCTGCCGTCCAAAAACAATGTGCGCTCTGCCTGGTACCGAGGGCAGAATTCCCCGGGAGATGGTAATCGAGCACGGGTTTCAGGGTGGAGCTGGAGGGAAGGGTGTTTTGGGAATTCCTCTCATGGCTTTCCCTTTCCTCTCACAGGTAGCTCAGAGCCTCCTACCCCCCACTATAATACCTGGGTCCTACAGGACACAGCCCTTGAGTCCCATGTACATCTGCTTTCAACCACATTGGGCTCAGCTATGGGCTTGAAGGATGGTGTGGCGCTTTTGAAGGTCTGGCTGCGGCAGCGGGAACTGGACAAGGTGAGTTGGGGTTGGCCTGGCTCCCCTGTCTTGCCAGGTGGTGGCCTGGCTCTGAGCTCGGGCCTCTCCCTTCATCTTTTTCAGGGCCTGGGAGGGTTCAGCGGGTTCCTCGTCTCTATGCTGGTGGCCTTCCTTGTGTCCACGCGCAAGATCCACACCACCATGAGTGGCTACCAGGTCCTGAGGAGCGTCTTGCAGTTTCTGGGTGAGGCAACTAGACTTGGAAAGGCCAAGGCCTCCTAGGAAACCTCTCACCCAGTCAGATTATTGAGCAAACTAAATCTCAGAGGCAGGTAGTTGCAGCCACCTGGCTGGAGGGAGGATTTCACTTGGGCTGGGTTCCTGGGGAGTAGAACTCCTTCTGACGCAACCACCTTCTGGTTCACTTCAGCCACCACGGATCTGACCACCAATGGGATCAGTTTATGTCTCAGCTCAGATGCCTCCTTGGTAAGTGGGGCTAACATGAGTCTGGACAAGGAGGCTTGACAGTCCAGGACCCAGTCCTGACTGCTTTTCTCTCTCCCTCCAAGCCCGCCGTGGCTGACTTTCACCAGGCCTTCCCTGTTGTCTTCTTGGACTCTTCAGGCCGTCTCAACCTCTGTGCTGATGTCACTGCCTCCACTTACCACCAGGTACTAATGGCCCTCTACTACTGGGTTCCCTAGGTTTCCCAGACAACTCTGTTCCTTCTGTCAGCACCAGAACCCCAGAAATACCTCTCCAGAGAGTTTAGGTTAGGCCCATCCCGGTCTGAACCCTTAGGTCTGAGGGTGGGTATAGTAGTGGTGGTCTTACCTCTGGGTTCCGCCCTGCCCTGCCCTCTGGTCCCAGGTGCAGCATGAGGCGCGGTTATCTATGTCCTTGCTGGAGACCAAAGCTGATGATGGATTCCAGTGGCTGTTGATGACTCCCAAACCTATGATACGTTCTTTTGACCATATCCTACAGTAAGTTCAGGGGTGACAGGGATTATCAGCAGGTCCTGTTTCCCTGGGCTGCTGTGATGGGGTTGGTGCCCTCTGGCAAGTTCCATATCCTGGTGTGCGTATTATTATGATTGGCAGCACTTGATTCTCCCTCTTTGTTCCTCTTTCCCCCCAAGTCTCCGTCCACTGAGTCGCCTGCAGGCAGCATGTCACCGACTAAAGCTGTGGCCAGAGCTGCAGGACCATGGTGGGGACTATGTCTCAGCTGCTTTGGGGCCACTAACCACCCTCTTGGAGCAGGGCCTAGGGTCCCGGCTGCACCTGCTGGCCCATTCTCGACCCCCAGCCTCAGAGGTGAGGGGGTGTGTAGGTCAGGGAGTTTGTAGGTTTGAGCGGCTGGATCCAGGGCCTCAAGGGATACTAAAGATACTGTCTCTAGCTAGAAAGTGGGTTTCTAGACCAAACTGGAGGATTCTTAGATTGAGTCTTTCTATGTCCTACAGTGGGACATCAGCCAGGACCCACCAAAGCACCGAGACTCTGGGACTCTGACCCTAGGATTGCTCCTCCGGCCTGAGGGTCTAACCAGTGTCCTTGAACTGGGTCCAGAGGCTGACCAGCCTGAGGTGAGAAACCCTGGGGCTTGCACAGTGATTTGACCCTGTCTTAGGGTGTCTAGCACGTGCATGAAAGGAGGGGGATGTGGCATACTCATGCTGCCTGGATTGTGGTCTGTTAGGAAGATTTCTGACAGAATCCTTTTTTGTGGCTCTTTTCCCATCACCCTTTGCTTCTCCATAGGCTGCTGAGTTCCGCCAGTTTTGGGGATCTCGCGCAGAACTTCGGCGATTCCAGGATGGATCTATTCGGGAAGCTGTGGTTTGGGAGGCAGCCTCTATGGCCCAGAAGCGCCTTATTCCCCATCAGGTGGTCACCCACTTATTGGCATCGTGAGTATTAGCTTCTTGATGCCAGGAGGCAGCAGTAAGCTGGGGAACCCTTTAGGAGGTTTTTAGAAGTGAACAGTTCATGTCCAGCAACTCACTTTATAGCCCTGATGCCCAACATTGTGTCTGTGTTCCTTCCAGCCATGCTGACATCCCAGATACCTGTGTCCACTATGTGGGGGGCCTCCTGGACTCACTGATCCAAGGTCTGAAAGAGGTAAGGGCCTTGGGTCAGGACTGGAGTCCAGGTTAGGGGTTGGGTAGAAGAAGCCAGTGTGGCACAGTCTGGGCGCTAGGTTTGGTGAGTCCTCAACCACCTCAGCCTGGCTGCGCTTCCTGGAGATGCCAGCAGGGGGCACTGGCTCCACAGCAACTAGAGCCAAGGCCAGCCTGACCTGCTTCCTGTCGTCTCCCTCTCAGACCTCCAGCACAGGTGAGGAGGCCCTGGCAGCCGCTGTACGTTGCTATGATGACCTCAGCCGCCTGCTGTGGGGCCTGGAAGATCTCCCCCTGACTGTGTCTGCTGTGCAGGGAGCTCACCCAGTGCTGCGCTACACTGAGGTGAGGTGCAAGGGGTGAAGGAGCCATTTTTGCTGGTGTCCCCCACCTTTACTCCACTTACCTTCCCTCTTTCCAACTCCTGACACTGGACACTCCCTTCCAGTCTGAGGCCCCTTCCTTCCTCATTCTCCCTTTTTCTCTTAGGTGTTCCCACCTGTCCCAGTCCAGCCAGCCTACTCCTTCTATGAGCGCCTGAAGGAGCGGGCTTCACTCTTGCCCCGTGCTGACAAGCCCTGTCCAGCCTATGTGGAGCCCATGACTGGTGAGGTGACTTTGGATGGTAGTGACAGGGCCTGTTCCCACTCTAGACTATAGTCTGAAATGTCTCACTATTCTTTCCAGTGGTGTGTCACTTAGAGGGCAGTGGGCAGTGGCCACAGGATGCTGAGGCCATCCGGCGGGTGCGAGCAGCCTTCCAGCTGCGTCTGGCAGAGCTGCTAACTCAACAGCATGGACTACAGTGCCGTGCCACAGCCACACACACTGATGTCCTTAAGGTTAGGGTGGTGTGGGCTGGGGATGACCTGGGGAGGGCAAGAGGGGCGTAGATAGCAGGGTGCTCCCGGAGCCCGTATACCTCCCGTCCCATCTCCTTTTCCACCAGGATGGGTTTGTGTTTCGGATTCGTGTGGCCTATCAGCGGGAGCCCCAGATCCTGAAGGAGATGCGCAGCCCTGAAGGGATGATCTCACTGAGGGACACGCCTGCTTCCCTCTGCCTGGAGAGGGAAACCAGGCAGTTGCCCCTGCTCACCAGTGCCTTGCATGGGTACAGTCACTGCTGACTCTTCTGTCCGAAAATCCTGTTCCTATTCCATCCTGTCCTGTCTAGGAGGCCACTGGTGTAGTAGTTTAGGGATATGAGGGCTGGAGTCAGGAGGTGGCCCTGCCCCTTCACTTCTGGGGGGAATTGCTAGGTCCCTTTGGGCAGGAGTCCCCCCCAGACCTTATTTTCCTTCTCTTAAAATGGCAGTAACACTGGGACCAACTTCTTGGGGCATTTGTTGAGAGGATGAGACATCTGTACATATAATACTTCAGCAAGAGGGTGGCAAAGATGACAGTTGAGTGGATAGCGGCAGTGGGTGAAGTTCTGTGGACCCCCCAGGGCCCGTGTCTCATCACCTGCCATTGTCTCTGCTCCCACAGGCTCCAACAGCAGCATCCAGCCTTCTCGGTTGTGGCTCGACTGGCCAAGCGGTGGGTGCGTGCCCAGCTTCTGGGCGAGGGGTTCACAGATGAGAGCCTGGACCTGGTGACTGCTGCCCTTTTCCTGCACCCTGAGCCCTTTACCCCTCCCAGGTGATTCCCACAACCTTTTGTCTAGTGAGGAAATTTCCTTTGGTGCCTGTTTTCATCCCTCATGTTGTCCTTTCAGTCCAAATGGGAGGGAGACTGAAACAAATAACAGAAAGAGATCTGAGATGACCCCTAATTCCATGCCAAGGGCTCACCAGTACCCAAGCGAAGCCTGGGGAGGTGTGGCTGGGCCTGGGGCTCATGGCTTTCCTTCCCCTCAGCTCCCCCCAGGTAGGCTTCCTTCGGTTCCTTTTCTTGGTATCAACCTTTGACTGGAAGAATACCCCCCTTATTGTCAACCTCAACAATGAACTCACTGGTAAGTAGTGGACTGGGGTCAGACTGCTGCAAGAACTACCCTTTGGGGATTTTCCTTCAGTCTGTTAGGTTTTTCTCTGTCGCCCCCATCTCAGATATCTGTGCCTAGCCATGACAGCTTTGGGCTGGGAAATGATTAGGAGGGGAGGACCTACACCAGGCCTTTTGGGAGCCTGAGGCTGGAGAGAGATGATTTTGTCCATGTGATGATCAGAAACCAAGTAGAGTGGGGTGGTAAGCAGCTGCAGAGAGTGGGCAGGAGGTATTGTGAGGAGAAGGAAGCGTGGAAGGAGGCCATGAATACTAGGGTTCAGGTAAGAACAGATGTCCAGACCTTTTGGGGGATGGGATGACGATTTCTTATTGTAATATGAGGCGCCCCTAGTTCCAGCAGAGAGGAAGGTGTCAGCTTCCTAATTCCCCAGGTGTGTGGGAGCAGAGGGTGGGAGGGGGCCAGGGGCAGGTCTCAGCTTGTATAAGTCCGGAAACCAGGCTGGGGTGCCAGGCAGTGGAAAATTCTGTCTCTGGGTTAAGGCTGGTTTTAATGCCCCACCCGTCTGAGGCAAACATGGTGTCCTTTTCATCACCTTTGCCACATGGGGGTGGGGTGTTGGAAAACCCCTGGGATGGGCAGCTGTTGGGTGGACAGTAGGAAGACCTGGGCAGAAGAGGGTTTCAGACAGAGGGGCAGGCTCACCCAGGACCCCGTCTCTTCCACAGTGGAGGAACAAGTGGAGATGCGCAGTGGCTTCCTGGCAACTCGGACACAACTCCCTGTCATGGTCATCTTTACCCCCCAGGATCGCAAAAGCTCAATATGGACACAGAATGGACCTTCACCCCAGGTTCAGTCCATCTCCTTCAAATGTGTGGTTTTCTCCCCCCCAAAGAAAAAGCAGTTCCACCCTGAGCTAAGAGACACGGTAGGATTTGACTTACTCTATGTCTGTCCCCAGATCCTGCAACAGCTTGTGGTCCTGGCAGCTGAGGCCTTGCCTGTCCTAGAGAAGCAACTAATGGACCCCCGGGGACCTGGGGATATCAGGGTAAGTAAGCCCTGACCAGGGTTACGTCAGGGGCTCTGGGGCCCTTCTGGGATGCCTAGTGCCTAGTTTGGTGAGGATGAACCCAGAGAAGGCATGGAAGCCGCTCTCGGCTCTTGGCAGTACTGGAGCCTGGGGGAGAACCGGGGCCCCAGCTCCATCAGGCCTTATGCTTCTAGCCTTTGTTCCTCCTGCTGGCCCCTTGGCAACAAGGGGGCATGTGCAACCATAATGGGAAGAAGGCACCCAGGTGTGTACATGGAGTGCTTTGTAGTCAAACTGCCAACGCCAGCTGCCGACTCCTTTCCTCAGACGGTTTTCCGGCCTCCCCTGGACATGTACGACGTGCTGATCCGCCTGTCTCCCCGCCACATCCCCCGGCACCGTCAGGCTGTGGACTCGCCAGCTGCCTCTTTCTGTCGAGGGCTGCGCAGTGAGTCAGGACCCTCATCCCTGATGCCTGTGCTGGGCTTTGATCCTCCTCAGCTCTACCTGGTCCAACTCAGGGTATGTCTGAAAGGCAGTCTGACCTTGGGGAAGTCAGTGGAGCGGAGACCCTGAGCGTTGCTCTCGACTGCCCACTTGTAATCTTGTCTCTGCCTTGCCCATCCCTAGGAGGCCTTTGGCGACCTGGCCCTTTTCTTTTATGATCGGCATGGTGGAGAGGTGATCGGTGTCCTCTGGAAGCCCACCAGCTTCCAGCCTCAGCCTTTTAAGGTACGCTGACTGACGATAGCTGTGTGTTGCTGAGTTGTATGTGGGTGAGTGCTGTGAAGTGTGTGGGCGCGTCTATCTCCACTGCTGTTGCACCACTGGTTTGGTGTCCACGGTGTATCTTTGTGACCCCTCAGTCCATGTTTCTTTGGTTTTCACAGGCCTCCAACACAAAGGGGCGCATGGTTGTGTCTCAAGGTGGGGAACTAGTGATGGTACCCAATGTGGAGGCTATCGTGGAAGATTTTGCCATCCTGGGTGAAGGCCTGGTACAGACTGTGGAGGCCCGCAGTGAGAGGTGGACCGTGTGATCTTCAACCCTGGCAGCAAGCTGGAGGTAGATAGTGGGACTGTTGAGACCTCTGGATCAAGATGGCAAAGGCATACGGACCCTCCATGGATGGTGTGCTGACCTAAAACACACTGGATGGACCCCACATATGCCCTCATCCACTTTTCTGTCTTGTGCGCCAACATTGGGCCTGGGGCCATAGTATCCCACAGAGTCAACTGGGCCTGCCTGTCTGAACTTCCAGAAGAGGCGTGTGAGCCAGCTAAGAGAGGAAACTGAGTGCGCCAGAAGATCCCTCCACCGCTCATCCCTGGGCCTGCATCTTTTGTATTTTCCCTCTTCCTGGACTGTTTCCAAAAGCCTGGAGAGGAGGGCACGTGCCCAGGGTTGAAGATCTGCCCCTTTTCTGTCCCCAGGATGTATACTGGGACCTCAGTCTGCCCTTCAGTGCAGCATCTAATCTTTAAATGGGGCCCAGAGAAGGTGTGGCCTTTCCTGGGGGTCACAGAGTACCAGCATTGAGCAGTGGAAAGGGGCTTCCCGTATGAATGGACCCCATTGAAGGGCACAATGCCCTCCTCTGTTGTTGCTCCTGGTTCACAGGGTGGGGACATGGAAAAGCACAGAAACAGGAAGGGACTGGGTGGCTGAAGGGGTGAGGGGACTAATGGTCCCCCAGTGCAGGAGGGATGCAGAAAGCACTTGAGTGCCACAGGGCCCCTTCGTGCCAGCTCTGTGCCCATTCGGGTTGCAGGCTGCCCCCACTGTGCTGCTGCAGTAGGGGTGCAGAGGTGAGCAAGGCCTCAGCCCTGCTCTCCAGGAGTTCCCAGTGCCCTGGGGGACAGGGGATGCTACCTCCTCTCAGCCTGGTCTACACTTCTTTCTGGCAGTGACTCCCTTCTCTCCCCTAATCCTGGCTGTTTTTCCAGACTCAGCTCAAATAGTGCCTCCTTAAACATTTCCCTTGCCCCCAGCCTGAGGAACTCTTTTCCCTCCTGAAACAGCAGGGTGATTACTATCTGTTCAGTTCACTTTGCAGTCACGTACAGTGACTGAACTATTCTGTTGTCTTAAGCTGATTTAAAATTAAATCACTGATTTCCTGTTCCTGGCTGGTTTTAACCTTTCTCCTATGTGTACGCTCACTCTTTAGAAGCAGGAAGCACCTCTGAGGATAGGTTTCACAGCTCCTGCTACAGTGTTCTGCTCAATAGGACTCAGAAGGGGCTAGCTGGAAGGCAGGGAGCGGCACCAGAAGGCTGCAAGGGTAAAGGAGTCATAATTTGTGATCTCTGCCTGAGTTGGGTGGGATGTGATGGAAGATAAAGCCTGAGAGGTAATAAAAAGTTGATTTTACGAGTTTTAACAAATGTCTACTAGGTCCTGGGCACTTGCTGCTTCACACACCTGAAGGATGGGAATTTGATGGATGGGCTTGGGTTTGAAATTAGCCCAATGAATACACTGGTTGTGTGAGCTGAGGTTGGCATATTTCTCTCCTAAATATGCCGGGCTTTTTTTTTTTTTTTTTTTTAATGTGGATGGCTCCACAATTTTTTTTTTAAGATTTATTTGTGTGTACAAGAACTAGGGTGTATGCCAGAACTGGGTGGGAGCTGAGCAGATTCACCAGAGACAGTGGTTGAGCAGAACATGCAGATCTACTGAAATACACTGCTGAGGGGAGCAGCAGGTGAGACGAGGTCTGTTGCGCCATATGGGTCAGCTGAACTTACACTGTAATATCTGGCAGTAGCTTGATAGTGCTGTGTCTTTGGTCCCTGGTGACCAGGGAGGTTCAAGGCTTCATCTTTGATGAAAGACAGGCAGTTCCAGCCCTCCTGGTGACCTCTGGTCCCCAGTGGTTGTCACTGGCCCTTTTTCTTTGGTTCACTCATTTGCTTTTTCCCCAGTCCTTCAATGGGCTTAAGTGAAGTCAGGGCTTTTGGCTTTCAAATCATCTGGCTTCAGCCACAGACCTAGTAGCTTCCAGCCTTTTTGTAAGCCTGTTTCTGGATTATCCCAGTGTGTGGATTATCCCAGTGTGTGGAGGGTGTGAAAATTGCCGCCAGTAAAGATGGTAGAGCAGGTAGCTTTAGGATGTTGCAGGCACTAGGCCCACTTGAGAAAAGCCATGGCCCTGCCACTTCCTCTGTGGTCCACTTACTTCACTTTGTGTGTGCTCTCCCACCTCTAAAATAGTTGCCATGATGAATTTGTCAAAAGGGAAGAGGGTGGACAGCATAGAAACCCAAGGAGCTGCACCATACCTTTCTACATTCCTGCTGCAATTGAGGAGGTAAAGAGTTGGAGGGCAGAGTAGGAAGCTTAGGCTTCCTAAATTTTAGTCCCTCCCATATTGTACCTCCAGCCTGTTTACCTCAGAGTTTCTCTGGAAAGTAGACATCTATTGGTGTGGTGGTCTAAGATGACTTTTGGAGGAGGGGTGGACGGTTGGGGGTGTCTGGGACGGGGAATTGGAACCTCAGAGGAAAGGAAGGAGACAAACGTGGAAGGTTAAGTTCCTTCTTATATGTGAACAAGAGTCTGCAGGGTGATGTGGTTTGCACATCCCAGGGGTGCATCTGCCTCTGGGCCCCCACATGTGACATAGGTGGGTGTAGACGGGGTGGGAGTTTGTCTTACATAAGGCATGGTTTGTCTGCTCTGTGTGTGTTGAGGGGGTGGTCATGCTTATATGCACCAGCCTGTATCAATTTTGGCCTCTAACTCTGAATCTCTATTTAAAAAAAAAAAAAAACTCTATGTTTGAAAAGTAAGTTGAGAGAAAAAGCCTTCAGGTAGGAGAAGGGAATTCTGGATTCTTTCTTGTATCTTTAAAGAAATCATTCCCCCCTTTGGGAATTCCCCTGATTCTGATAGATTTTTTTAAGTGTCTCGTGTAGGGGACATTTAATGAATTTCCAAAGGGTCTTCCTCTGGCCTAAACTTCAATCCTTTCAGCCCAGACCTTTACTTTGGGGAAAAAGAGTAAGACTCCCAAAGCCTAGTGGTCCTCTCAGTAGTTTACATTCAATAGTGCTAAGGGTGCTCAGTTCCTGACTTATTAAGTCAGATTTGGGCTAACCTTAACCCCACCCACCAAGAAATATACATGTAACCCCCCTTCCAACATCCGGTAATTGCACTGTGAGTCACAGATTAATCCAGGTGAGAGATAAAGGGGAGGGAAAGCCTGGGGCACGTGAGTCACCTCTACCCTTCTCAGGGAAAGGCCAGCAAGCCCATCCCCCTGCTGCAGAGGGTGAAGAAAAGGGGCATCTCAATCGCCCCAGTTGCAAAGGGGGACTAAGGTTTTTTCCAAGCCCAGAAGGAGACTCTTCCCTCTCCCATTTCAGTGTCTGGGAGGGAAAAGGAGACACTTATTTCTCCTGTTTGCTTGAAGTCGGAGAGGTGTAGGAACTTGTCCAGGGTCACACAGGGAGATGAGGGTGGAGTTTCGGGGAATCTAGGCGTCCTGTCTGCAGGTAAGCTACTAGTTGCTGAGCCTGGACTTTCCTGGGGCCAAGGGGTGGAGTGTGAAATTAAAAAGGAGTAGCGAGGCCTGTGCTCCATATCTCTGCAATGTGGCAGGGAGCAGTGAGAAGCCTGCCCCCTCCCCTGTTCCGGGCTGCCTGCCAGCCTTGCCCCTTTCCCTCCGCTCAAAACAGTTAAATTAAGCTGTTCTCAACAGGCCTCTCAACAGAGGAGCAGGATAATTGTAGTGGGGTGGAAACAAGAACTCTCTGGTCTATCTCAGCTCAAGTTTAAATGTCCTGGTGTTTCCACAGGAGCTCCTCAAAAGCAGAATCTAGTCTCTTCCACTCTTCCAGACTAAGGAATTGGGCTTGGCTTTCCTAAGGGCTGCCCAGGTCAAGGTTGGGCCCTAATTGAGAAGGTGAGGGGATCAGAGTTCCAGCCCCTGTTTCATTTGTCTACCAAGGGTCTGGATGAAAAAGATAATCACATGAATGGCAGCTGCCTTTCCCCAAATTTCATCTATACACTCCCACCCCAGTGGCGTCTCCCTGGATGCACTCCCAACCAGTGGGGTCTCCCTGGATCCCCATCCCTGTTGACCCCAAACTAGAGACCCTCAGGAAGTCATTCTTGAAGTTTGACTACAGAATCTCCTGCTGCAGCCTGTCTTTGCAACCTCCATCCTTCACCTGTGACTCCTTTCCCCTAGGCAGGCAGCGGGTGACTGGCTTGTAATTAGCTAGGCTAGGGGAGAGTAGAATGGTGTTCCCACATGCCCATCGCCTATCTTGATCTGATGCATAGCCTCCTTCTATCACCTTTGCTCTACCCTGCTTCAGAGAACATTCTGCTGTCTGGTTCAAGTTCCTATATACCCAGTTCTGCCTACCTTCAACTCCAGGTTTCTTGCCAACCTCCCCAGCCCACGCTGCCTCCTTAATCTCAAATTCAAATCCTCTCTCTCCCTCCAACCATTGCTCTGCATCTGGCCTCTTTCCCTCCTCCATGTCCTCCAGACCTCCTGGCTTCAGTCTTTCTCTTTCCAACCTATCCTCCACTCAGCAGCTGGAAACATCTTTCTAAACTGCAAATGGAGACCATATTACCCACTCTGCTCAAGCCCTTTGGGCCTCCCACTAGCCACTCTTCCAAGGGAAAGAACAGTCATCAATTCTAACCTTGTTTAGAAACCTGATGTAAAGTAGTTAAAATGTAGTGGTTGAAGCAGGAGTGGGGGCATGGAGTCTGCCTCCTTGGCTTCCCTCTCCTCTTCCCCAGCAGCATCCTTGTGAGAGAACTTCCTCAGAGCCCTGAGACTTAAAGAAGCTTGAATATCTCTGGTTCCCTGGATAAGACCCTTAGTATAAAAATCAAGCCCTTCTTGGCCCTCCCTGGTGGCACAACCGGTTAGGACGCAGCACTGCAAGCTGGGCGCAGCCGCTTCAGTGCAGGTTCAACCCCGGCCCCTGAGGTGATCCACAAGGTGCAGCAGACCTCTCCTGACCCGCCTGCTACTCCCCTCAGCAGAGTCCTTCAGTGATCTGCCTGTTCTGCTCCCCATTCTGTCTTTGGTGGAGCCTCTCGCTGCCTCTGTGCCTCTGACTTGTACCCTAGTTCTGTATGAATAAATAAATCTTAAAAAAAAAAAAAAAATCAGGCCTTCCCTGGTGGCGCAGCAGGTTAAAGCGCAGCACTAAGAAGCTTAAGCCACTTCCACATGAGTTCGATCCCTGCCTGCCCCAGAGGTGACCACATGGTGACCACATGGCGTGGCAGACCTCTCCTGACCCACCCGCTGCTCCCCTCAGCAGTGTACTTCATTGATCTGCCTGTTCTGCTCCCCTCTCTGTCTCTGGGGAATCCTCTCACCCTCCACATCTCTGGCCTGTACCCCAGTTCCATATGAATAAATAAATAAATCTTAAAAACAAAACAAAACAAAACACTTAACTCTCATAAAACTGTTTCCAAATAAACATTAAAAAAAAAAATCAAGCCCTTCTGCTGCTGCCCACGGCCCCTCCAGCCTTACTACAGCTGCTCTTATCATAAACCAGCCATCCCTACCAGGGTCTGACCCAGCACTCTCACCTGGAAGACCCTCCACAAAATTCCAATCCAAAAGTTTCCTCCTCCAGGAAGTCTTCTGAGTGCCTCAATCGTAGGGTGCTCCAGCCCCCTTCCTGGTTACAGGGACGTGGCAAATGCTGGGCCCTGACAGTTCCCTCAATCAGCCTGTGAGTTTTCTTTCCCTTCTGTACTTCTGGTCTGACCACTCTTCCTTGAGGCAACCCCACTTCAGTCCCAGGAGCGTTCCTGCCAGTGAGGAGGGAAATCAGAAAGTCCTTGGACTGTAGGAATCTGGTTCCTGAGGTGTGAACCAGAGCCTTCCAGATGCCCTAGGCCTGTTTGCAGTGATGGCCTGGTCTGTGTCAGCTCCGAGTCACTAACTCCTTCCCCCAGGTTGGCACGGGAAGACTTCTTGACAGATCCCCACCTCCTGTCTCTGGCTTTTATAAACACTAGCCCAGATGCAAAACCAGGTCTGACAGGAACATAGAGAGATGGACCCACAGACTCCCTTAGATACACATGTGCACGTGTTGACCCTCGTGGATATTAATAGTCTTGTGCGGACCCCACGGTCACTCACAGGGACACACAGACCTGAGGAAGCATGGGCACAGTGTGCACGTAGGCTACGACAGAGGAAATGTGGCTGTGATTTCAGAGGCAGCTCTGGCATGAAACTGTCTTCCATGTTGACAGTGCAATACAGTTTCAAAGCCTGAAACATCCACAATCTTGTTTGATTCTTAGAAGCCCTGGCTGGGCAGGGAGGGAGAGAGTTTCCACGGAAACCTCTCAACCAGGCGACTGAGGTAGAAACTGAGACTCAAGGGTGGGGGAAGAGGACTGTCTAGGTCACTTGACTGGTTAGCGGACAAGCTAAGCATGGAGCTGAGACCCTGGGTCTACAAAAGGACTCTGCCCCCCCTCAGCCTGGCCCCTGACGCTGGTCTTCCTCAGCAGGGATCTAGGTCCATGCCAGCCCTCTGCCTTCTCACATGGACCCTCTGCTATCCTGAGGGTGCTAACCAGCAAAGGGGGCCAAGGAAAGCTCAGGGACACTAGAAGGTGAACCCAGAGCTTCCAACATATGGGTCGACAGTACATTTTCTCAAGGTCCAACTGATCATCTGGCCAGAGGAGCCTGAAAGGGCAGCTTGTCCTCAAAAGCTCCCCGTCACCTGGGTTGTCTGGAGACAGGGGGTGAATGTGTTGGCACAGTGGGAGGAGCTGCTCACCTGCCCCCTAGTTTAGGGACGCTCATAATGAGGTGATTCATTTCTCCTCTCCACTCCCCATTCCAATCCGGAGTCAGCCCCCAACTCTTAAGGCCCAGAATCAAGAGTAGCAACAGCCTAAGAGTAGGGCACACACTGGTAAGGGAGCTTAGGCCTGGAGGGATGGAATACATCCCTATGCCCTGGCTCCCGGCCCACCCCCCTTTCCCACCTCCCCATCCCCATGGGGTTTGAATCAGCTCAACACTTGGTGGCTGAGTGAGACTTTAATAGATGACTTCTCCTCAATTCTCAGTGTTGTAATCTGTGAAAGGGGGAAAATATACTTATTTCTGTTTTTTTTTTAATATAATAGTTTATTTTTACATCATTTTGTGCATTTTTCCATCTCAGTTGCAATCCCCTTATTTCAGGGGGTTGTTTTGTAAATACAAGGCTGTGCTTTCTAAACTTGAAATGTCTGAATGTCTGCTTTGACCTGTTCCTCTCCCACCCAGCCCAAATGCTCTGGAAGAGGTTGGGAGGTTCAGGGAGGATGGGGGGCAGTAGCATGATTTGTCTGTCTCCACTCTTCTCTATCCCACTGGCTCACAGCAAGGCTCAGGTCTCCTCTGCTGGTCCAGTCGGCTCCGATTCAGGCAAAAAGGATTTGGGGGACAGGAAATGAAGGGTGTGCCACCCCTTACAGGGCACCAGCCAGCCCCTCTGGTCCAGCAGGCTGGGACTTGCATCTTCAGCCCTTCCCTTGCCTGGGAACCCACTCCCCCAGCTCTGACCTCAAACAGTCACGGCCTCCCACAGGGTGGATGGCTTGTCAAGGGCCCCTTCCTGGGTTCAGCCCTCCCGCCCAGGTGAAACACAGACCTTGCTCAAGATGCCCTGAGAGGAGGTGGGGCCTCCTCTTCTGCCTCCTCCTGGAGATCTGAGGTAGGCTGACTTCCAGCTTCCACTCAGCCCTGGCTTTCCTTCTCAAAGCACAAGAGGGAGCCCAGAGGACTCTGGGAAACCTGTGTGACTGGTGAAGGCCTCACCAACCTCTCTCCTCTGTGAAAGAAAGAAACCACAGCCCACAGCACCCCATTCGCAACTTGCCCCATCCTGGGCCTGCCATCAGTGGAGGTTTGCAGTGGACACGAATAGGGGCAGCTGTGCTACCAGCAGGCACACACAAGACCCTTCAATACAGGTTCTTGTGCTCAGCTCCCAAGGGGTTTGTATGAGCTGTACCAGGAGGGAGCAGGTCACAAACACAACCAGGCATTTGGTATCTTGTTTACACCAAGCAGCACTCGTTTACACATATGTATCTGTGTATACTCACACACATGTGTGTGCACATATGTGCCTACCTATACTCCTGTGGCTGCAGGATTCAGGGAAACAGGTCTTGTGTTTCAGGAGGTGCGACTCACACTGACCGCAGCGAGGATGATGCCTCTCCAGGGTTACGCATTCACATCTGCCCAGGTCCAGCCCAGGTCCAACCTGGCCCCTCTGAACAAGCATCCTCAGGCCCTGGCCTCGCTTTATCCTCGATGACTCTGGGAGTACTGCCAGTACAAGGGACTCTTGGAAGCCTTTGCATCTTTCCTCCAGGTTGAGTCATCTCAGGCCACTAAGAAGCACAAAAGCTTCCCCTACCCCCTCAGCTTCAATCCTAATGCATTCCAGTCTACATGTGTGATGTACACTTATGAACGTGTTATGGAAAGGAAGGAGTTTGGTGGGAATATTTGGGGTCACGGTCTTGAAGGTTGGGTCCTGATTGGGAGCCAGGGGGTGTTGAGATGCAGCCTTTGTTTCACCTGCCGAGTCATGTGCCTTGGTATCTACTAGAGGAGTCATAAAGATGCCCTATGGTGACCTGCAGCCGCAGGATTATAGGTAGGCACATATATATGCACGCACACATGTATGAGTACACATAGATACATATGTGTAAATAAGCGCTGCTTAGTGTAAACAAGATACCAAAGGCCTGGTTGTGTTTGTGACCTGCTCCCTCCTGGTATAGCTCACACGAATCCCTTGGGAGCTGAGCACAAGAACCTGTATTGAAGGGTCTTGTGTGTGCCTGCTGGTAGCACAGCTGCCCCTATTTGTGTCCACTGCCAACCTCCACTGATGGCAGGCCCAGGAGGGGGCAAGTTGCGGAGGGGGTGCTGTGGGCTGTGGTTTCTTACTTTCTTTCATTGAGGAGATCCTTGCCATTTCCTGCTCTGTGCTGCCTTTATATCCCCACCGGAGCAGTAAGGGGCTGAGAAGCACACCACAGAGTAGGGAGAAGAGAAGGTAGCATGGTGTGTGTGTGGTGGGGGTATCCCCTATTCACATAATTTGGGCTCTGGCACCAGGAGTTTAGCGTTCTGCCTGAGTCACAGGCGGGCAGTGAGGCCAGCAGGCAAGCACTCATTCAGTGATGGCTCCCTGATTCACCACGGTGCCTCCCAGCCCGTGGGGGCTCAGGGGTGTGGGATGCTTCTCTTTGGGCCAAGAGCCATTAGAGACCTGGCGTATGAGCTGATGGCCAGGCTCACGTGTGAATACCATCAGCACAGGAACAGTGTCAATAGTCCAGCATGGCTGCCAGCCTCAGGGTACATGTGTATAAATCAAGCCTCTGTGTGCTGCTAAACCCATCTCTTTGGGCATGAATCACCCCTGGGGACTTCATTTCGAAGAGCCATTCCTCAAGGGATAAGTCCCCAAGGCTCTAGACCCACCTGAATTCAGTCCCTCTGGGAAAATATGGTTTCTTTGGTCTCCCTTAACAATGCTGCCATAGAGACATGGGGCCAAGACCTGATTGTTCCCAATTCTGTGATTCTAGCCCACCTGCTCTTGGTTTCCTGATAATTAAATGCAAGATAGGCAGTAGGGCTGTCCCACAGATCCTCTCAGGAGGCGCTGACACCCTACAGTTTAACCATCATAATCTTATAAAGGGAAGGATTATTCCTGGCTAGTGATGAGCCAGAGAGGGAGAGCAGAGGGTTAAAACAGCTGGAACTCACCCTATTGGCAAACATGTGGATGTGGCATGTCAGGACAACTGCTGCTCATCTCTGGAGCCATGTGCAAAACGCACGCAGGTACACGTGGGACAGGCTCAGTTAAGCCAGCCATGTTCAACAAGCAAGTGCATGTGAGGAGTCCCCAGCAAGTGTAATGAGGAACATAGGACAGCATGGTGCACACAGCCTGGGCAGAGCTGCTGGGGCCTGGAAAGTGTGACAGGTACCCACCGCACCCATGAACTCTGACAGGAACCCAGCACTTGTGTTCTGTGTGTCCCCCAGGACCTGAACTATGAAACAGGGTGTCCACATCTTCCTTTTACCTGTCCCCTGGACATGCTGGGTCCAGCCATACTGTAGGGCTGGGACCTGCTGC